GACCGTACATTCAAGATGGCTTTTTTCCTGTTTTTTTCTTTTTTGTTAACTCATGTATCCCTGGCACCCAGAACAGTACTGGGCACACAGTAGACACTCAATTACTGAATCTGCTGTCATGGAAATAAAGCATGATGAAGTGAGAAGTGAAGGGGTTTTCTTCTTAAATTCATTTGAAAAATTAAAATACATTGTTTCTCATCTATCAGAAAGGCAAAAATATTTTATGCTACTCGGGGGCAACGTGGACATGCACAAATGCTGTTGGTGGGGGCAGGGACACACGGACAGTTGTGCACTCCATGCACTGTTTAAAGGCAGTAAGTTTAGGGTGGGGACGGGGCAGGGAGAGAGGGCAAACCCAGTAGGTGCTTTGCTGTGGAGAGCTGGGTCAGTTCTGGGGAGGATGTCTTTCTGTAATTTCTTCAGATCACAGGAGTAGGATAGCTCTTTGCTGCCTTGCTATGGTGGACAGAAGTGTAAAACACGGTGATTTCTTTTAAACAATTTGGAAATACCTAGCAAAACTCAAAATCTACAAACCTTTCTTTTTTAAATATGTATTTAGTTATTTGGCTGTGCTGGGCTTCAGTGTGGCGTGGGATCCGTGGTCTTCACTGAGGCACGCCGCATGTGAGATTTAGTTCCCTGACCAGGGATGGAACCCAGGCCACGTGCACTGGGAATGCGGAGTCTTAGCCACTGGACCACCAGGGAAGCCCCTCTACAAACCTATTAACTGGAAAATCCACTCAGAGGTTGTAATATTCTTACTTTCCATTTATAAGCTTACATATGCAAATAAAATGATATGGACACAAACACTCCTAATGACAGCAACTGTCTATAAACCTACTGTATGCTCATTTATTGGAGACTATCTACATAATTTATGGATATCCATTAAATACTAGACAGGAATAACTGTAGGGTCGATCTACACACGCAGATTCATAAGTTTTCTAAGAGATGTTAAATTAAAGTACAAAAAAGTACAAAAAAGGTTGTTCTAATTATTTTTTTTAGATCACTAAAAATCATTTTTAAGACATTGAGTTTGAATTTCAATATTGGCAACATAATTATATATATGTATTTCCATGCACGTTAGGGCTTCCCCGGTGGCTCAGTGGTAAAGAATCCACCTGCAATGCAGGATCCACAGGAGACCTGGATTCAAGTCCTGGGTCAGGAAGGTCCCCTGGAGGACAGCAGGTTAACCCACTCCAGGATTCCTACCTGGAGAATCCCATGGACAGAGGAGCCTGGAGGGCTACAGACCATGGGGTAACAGAGAGTCGGACAAGACTGAAGTGACTTAGCACGCACACACTCCTGTACTGGGTGTGCATGAGTACATCTGATACTACTGAAATACCTAAATTTAGTTCAATACAACATACATATAGGATACCACAAATGTCACTATTAAAACAGTTTTAAACACAAAACACTGTTAATTTTAAAAGGGTGAAATACAATTTTAAGAGAAATGTCAAAATTTATATTTTTTTTCTTAGTTGAATTTTCTTAAGCTTTTTATTCTGGTTAATATTATCTTAAAGTCCTCTCCATATTTCTCAAAAAATAATAATTTTTCACCTACTTAAGTTGTTTCTGTAGCTGTCTAAGTCAGGGCATTTAACATTATTAATCATAATCTAACTGGGACATGTAGTACTTTTGAAACAGTCTCTGTGCCAAGAAAGAATCTTGAGTTTTGAGAAAGTAAAGGAAGATAATTTTATTGGTAGTGAGGAAATCAATTGCCCTCACTTTTATTCTACCAAGAAATGCAATTTTTGGTTTTCCTTAAAAATGAGCTGGGATTTAAAATAAAATAGAAATGGAGCCTGCCAGGCTCCTCTGTCCATGGGATTCTCCAGGCAAGGACACTGGAGTGGGTTGCCATTTCCTCCTCCAGGGATTTTTTCTGACCCAGGGATCTAAAGCACATCTCTTATGTCTCCTGCATTGGCAGGCAGGTTCTTTACCACTAGCACCACCTGAGTAGCACACATGTCTTTAAACAAAAAATAAAATCATCTCCATATATAAATTAATGTGTATTTTTAATCTTCAAAACATCACTGGATATAGACTATAATGCCTTTCCTGGCTCCAAAGTTTAAACAGAAACAGGAAACTCATCACTCCAAGACCTTCCTTCAATTGCTCCCACTTTTACTTACTTTTGGCATTATTCAACACAACCAAGTCCAAAATTGGCAGTTAAGATTTTTATTACAATATACCCACTAACAGAATTAGGCAATGCAACTAGTTGAGTAGCTGTACAGAATAATTTATTGTCCACTGGCCACATGGTTTTAACATGTAAAGTATTTTTCTCGGGAGAGAACATGGATTATTTATAATATACTTATTATTATTTATAGAATTATTTAAAATTAAGTTGTTTATAATTAAGAATTATATATACTTATTTGCACCATGTAAAACAATAGCTGGAGTATGAGAAACAACACTTTTAAAACACCACCTTATATTCTCCATGGCACTACCAGTTATTAATAAATGTCTAATCATCAGATCTAAAGATAATACTCTTCCTTCTTGTGTCTGTAAATCCCAAACTAAACTGCCTAAACACAGCTCATTCTAACAAAATAATTTATATAATCATCGGTTAGAGAACAATTCAGAATTAACTGATGACTTTTAGATCTTAAATTCTTGCCTTTATATAGCTTTGCATTCGTGTGTGCTAGGTTGCTTCAGTCGTATCCAATTCTTTCGACCATATGGACTGTAGCCCACCAGGCTCCTTTGTCCATGGGATTCTCCAGGCATGAATACTGGAGTGGGTTTCCATGCCCTCCTCCAGGGGATCTTCCCAAGCCAGGGACAGAACCTGTGTCTCGTATATCTCCTGCACAGGGAGTCCGGTTCTTTACCACTAGTACCACTGGGGAAGCCCCTATATAGCTTTACTGTAAATTTATTTCTTTTAGAATTATCCATGTACCAGATTATGTTGAATTAAAATAAAATCCATACAACTGTCTTCAAGACAACGTGTAGACTATTTTTTTCCTGTAAAATATGGACAGCATGAATTTTGGAAATTTTCATATTTTTCTGATTCAGTTTAGATTTGTGTTAGAAAATGAATCTTTTGTAATTGTCACCTAAAAAGGTTCAAATTATTCACAAAAACTTACATATTTTTCTTAATTAGATAACCCATTCATCAGAAACCACATCGTGTTAGAAAAGTGAAAAATTGGACAACATCCTTAGGTTTTACATTGTTGCAAACAGTGTCAGTTAGCTGGCATATTCCTTCTAGTGCTGGATAGAATGTTGCAGATTTTAACATTAATCTAATAAATAACTGATGTAAGAAGAGTTTATCAGTATGTAGAAACTTACATACTTTTTAAAAATCACCTTCCATCTTCTTGGAAAAACTACAGTTGACTTCACAAGCACTTGAAGCAATCAAGAGTGCTTTAAATGGCATCCAGTCAATAATAACACCCCCCCCAAAAAAAAACTCACCAAACCAATTAACACACAGTCTAGAGGAAATCTGTCATAATAAACTCCCCAAGGAGCAATGTTTTGTAATCACACCGTACGTTTCCACTAATTTTCAGAGATAAACCTTTAATTTTTGGCTTAACAATCTTGGAAAAGGGGAACTCTTCCAGTCTTCTTTACTATAGTGTTTATAAGCAATTCTAACAGCCACTTCCAAAGCTTTATTCACAAAAATGCAGCTAGATCATTCTGCATATATATACATAAAGATTTATATATTTTTAAAAGGTTGTTGCATAATGAATCGTAAATTCATTATGCTGGAAGTTTTAATCCTTGCTCTCATTCACTATTAATTATTCTTTCATCTCAGACCTCCAAAGAGATTATCTAGAAGACAAAAATCCAAGAGAGTAAGAAGTTCAAATACACCTGCCCGAATTTCGTTTGACCTCAAGCACGATCACCAGGCACCGGTCTATTCAAGAGTTCAGCGCTTCGCTACGGTTTCCCTTCAAGAGTTCCCCGGACAGTGTAGGTCCCCCACCCCATCGTCAAGGGGGAAGACAGCCCTTCAAGGCGCCCCGAATTGGCGCGGAAAGAGGGGGTTACCCACGGACGCCCGCGCTCGAGCGGGCGGTGCCCTCGCCCAGGGCCCGCGGGACGTAGCCTTCTCCTCAAGAGGCCCCCCGGAGAAGGCGTCTCCGGGGGGAAGCCTGGCAAGGCGGGCGCGGGCGGGGCTTGGGAACAGATACACATGTCTTCTGGGGAGCCGGCGGCGCGGGCTGAGGGGAGCGCCGACACCGCCACCGGCCACTGACAGCGGGCACCCGGGGGTCCCCGCCGGGCGGGGCGGCGCAGAGACGCTGTACCTGGCAGGTACCCACGTACCTATCATGGCCACTGGGCAGGCGGACGCGGCCCGCCAGGCGAGCAGGACCCGACTCGCACCCGGGCGCCCGCCTGCGCCTCACACGAGCGGCGCTCCGGGGTTAAATCGTCCGAGACGCCCCTCCCCCTCCTCCCCCGGCGCCCGGCCCTCGGAACGCGCACGCGCGAACGGCACGCCGCCCGCGGCCTTCTGGGAGTCGTAGTTTTCACTCATTAAGTACCGCCTCGGGTCGGTAGCCGCCCGCCGCCCGCCTCCCACCTCCCGCCCTTCCGGCCTGAGGCCCAGGAAACGTGTACGTCACCGGGAGGCGGGGCCATCCGGCCTCAGTGTTGACGCGTCGCTTAGCAACCGGGAGGGTTACCTTTGGAAGCTTGTGGCAGCTCTGGCCTCGGCCCTGCCCTCTTCCCGCCCCTTCCCTCCCCTCAACTCCCTGCACCTAGTAGCTGCCAAACATCTGGATCGACCACTGCTACGAAGGGGTTGAATTTCTACCATTAACGCGCCTTTTTCCATTTTTTTCCCCCGACCTCCTTCTCACATCCATAAATCTCACTGACTCTTTTACTACACGTTGTATGAGAACAAGACATTTCCTAGGAAGATGGTGGCAGAAAAAGAGACCCTGAGCTTAAACAAATGCCCAGCCAAGCTGCCGACGAGGACCAAGCTCCTGGCACAGCAGCCGCTCCCGGTGCACCAGCCTCACTCCCTGGTTTCTGAGGGCTTCACAGTCAAAGCCATGATGAAAAACTCAGTCGTAAGTGATCTTCCCGAATCGAATGCACTCGCTCCCAGTCAGGAGACCCCAGGTTGCAGAGGTTGGCTGGCCCTAGGATGGATTCTGAGCCCCATGTTCCGGGTGGTCTTCGCCCAAAATGGCAATTTATTCGGCCAGTAGCAGACGGTGCCCAACAGAGTGTGGAGGTCCAGGCTGGGATGTTAGAAGGGGTCTGGGGCAACTGATGAACTGTGCCCGTTTCTAAGCACCTTCCTAATAACTCAGGGCTTCTAGACCACCTGAATTTATCCTTCAGCTATATACACAAAGAAAGATCCCCTTTACTTCCTAAACTAGCCCCACTCAGAAAAGCGACTTAGAGAAGGAGAGGGCTTAGAAATCGAACTCCCTTGCAAAATTAACTCATTAACAATAAGAAATTTCATCAATTCAACCTAGACATTTTAAGAATATCCTAGCATTTTTTCTAACAAGATTCTCACGAAAAGGCATGTTAGAGTACTGAGAAGCAACTTATTAAGAAGTCTGTTTCCAAATAGACCTTTTAAACCTTTGATTTTAAAACATGCAAGATTCGATGCAAATACTTCTGACTATTAATACAATTCATATTACATTTCTATTGTTTTGTGGTAGTAAAAATCCATTATTCTCAATACTATTAGGAGGGAAAAGTTTAAACTGCACATGGAAGGTTTCAGTATATGCATGACAGTTTAAAAAAAAAAAGGCTTTAAATGTGGTGTGCTGCAGCAGGTTTTACTATTGAGTAAGTACCTGGCTGAGAATTCAGCCATTCATTTATTTATTCAGTAATAAACGCAGCTTTCAAATTTGTGTAATTTACACTCTGGGAGGATCTGACTTACTGTGTAGCAACTCATATGTTGAATGAATACCATTGCTTTCCAGTGTCACATTATTTGTTTCACATAAATGTTGCAAACTTAATACATTATTCCTAAACTACATCCTTAAAATACACAAATGAAATAGATCACCTTTAGACCCAGAGGCCAGATTTCCACGTTGCTACACAAAATGAAATTCTGGTTATTGCAATGTGTGTCAGTTGCATTGCAATAGTTATTCCCAGAAATAGACTAAAACTTTCTGCTTGTTGTAACTGCAGTCCTTTTCTGAGTATATCTTGTAAATAGGTGATCGTGGGAGCCAAGATGATTAGTTTATCAGCAACACAGAATACCATGACATTCAAGCTAATTATTTCTTTTTTTCCCTTCTACTCAGTATATATAATTATAGTTTTAATGATTTTTCCAATGTTATCTTTCTTCAAAGACATGTATAAAATTGGTATGATTCTTTTTTTTTTTAAGTATATGTATAGTCGTGTTTATTTTTTAGAAACATAGCCTTTCACCTAAAGTTATAATTCTGGAAAATCAAATATTTCAGTATTGTCAAATGTAACAAGACTCAAACAACAACACAAAAAACTGATTATGAAGCAGCCTTAATTATAAACAACTTGTTTGAGGTACATTATCTTCTTGTCTCCATATACTTAAGGAAAATCCCTTAGTGTAATAATAATATCTCCTTGGGGATCTTCTAAGGAGGATGCGTCATTCTTTCACTCATTTGGTGAGAATCATAATTGTTAGATGAAAATATTGTCCATCCATCCATCCATTCACTCATTAAATGATAATTTTGTTTGTTTCTAAACCTAAGATCTTGCAAAGCGCAGTTCTGGGGATTTGTGATCAGCAAAACAAAGCCCCAGTCCTTAAAACTCCAAGGAAAGCCACCACTAACAACAATGGACAAGTCTTGACAAAAGAAAGACACTTAATATATCCTAACTTCAGTGGTACAGGAAATAAAACCTTTCCTCTTCATACCCAATATTTACATTTCAACATTTCTGTCCTCAGCAGTATAGGCCTTTTTGCATTATATAGTCAATTGGGATTTCCCAGGCAAGGATACTAGAGTGGATTGCCATATCCTAGCCCAGGGAATCTTCCCAATCCAAGGATTGAACCCGCGTCTCCTGCATTGGCAGGTGGATTCTTTACCACTGAGTCACCTGGGAAGCATATAGTCAAAACACCCTTCTTTCTTAAGGTTTATTTCTGTTCGGAAAATCACATGCTGATCCATAGCTTTTCGTGAATGCAACTCCTTGTTCCACAAGCCAACCCACAAATCACTTTTCTGGTGTTACGACGTGCCATCAGTTCCTTCTTTCCAGCACTCACTAATTAAATAAGTCTTCACTCCAGAGCACTTCCACAAATGAGTTACAGAACTGTATCCTAAGGAGGTATATGGGGACTCCCAGTGTTTTTTGAGGTGCTTCAGCAATACAAGCTTGATCATAGACAGATATGATCATGTGGGCTGTGCAAGCCCAAATGCTTAAACAGTCGTAATCTATATATGTGAATGCAGAATTATTTACAAAACAATAATGAATGTGAATGGATAATTAAAATGGCATAAAACATGTAAAGCAAACAAAACAGTGCGTGGCACAGTCAGTGATCACTTGTTACCTGAGGAATGAAGGGATTTGAGTGTGTAGATGTGTAGGGAGAAGGTGTTAGAACAAAGGGAACAATATAAGCATAATCAAGACAGTGAAGAGTTGCAATTTAATTTGGTGGCAGCAAATAAGAATAGTGGGAGATGAAATTAAATCCATAGAATAGGGTTAGATCACAGAATGCCATTTTTCATTAGCTTCTTATTAACGTTATACACATCCATTGTGAAATGTTTAAGTGACTTGGCTTAGTAAAGGAGGCTTCCCTGGTGGTTCAGTCAGTAAAGAATCTGCCTGCAATGCAGGAGTCCTGGGTTGGGAAAATACCCTGGAGAAGGAAACGGCAACCCACTCCAGTATTCTTGCCTGGGAAATTCCACGGACAGAGGAGCCTGACAGGCTACAATATATGGGGTCTCAAGAGTAAAGGTTTCTCCTATTTAAGATAATGGGGAAATTAAAAAAATTTTTTTTCACTAGTCCTCTTATAATTTCAATGTTTTATTTTAAAGCTTTGCTTCATCTTAATTCATTTTGGTTTAAGAAGCAAGGTATAAATTTATTTTATTTTTCCAAATTTGTCAGCAGTAGTTACATTAACTTTCACATATAGTTAAACCAAGTTATATATATAAAAAAATCTTCCTGTTTAATTTGAATGATCTATCACTCCTGTATGTATATTAATCATAGTGACTTTGTGTATGCTTTAATAATTAATGGGGCTAGACATCTCTATTCTATTTTGCTTTCCTAGCAATCCTATGAGGAGGCAGAGAAGACCTTTTTTCTTTCCATTTAGCATATAAATCTGACAATTTAATTTTTTGTGGTTGTAAGTCATCTATTCAATGGCAAAGAATGAATGCTGTATTACTAGATTTTTCTAACTTAGGCCAGTCCTCTCTTGATCACTTTTTTATTGACTTTGGTAGATGCATGACATGCAAATGGAAAATGCACACACATCACTTGATAAATATTAAACCAAACATACTGGTGTAGCCAGAACCCAGATCAGGAAACCTTACCAGTACCACAGAACCCCTTCAGGACCTTTCTAGTAGCTTAGATGCCCAAATACAGCCCAAGTTAATCTTATCCCAACTGCTCTCAACAGATTTGTGCATATATTCACGGATCATACAGTGTGCAGTTGTTTTATTTCTGGTGTATGGGATTACTGTTGTGAAATTCACCCACATTACTGCTTATGATCATAGATCCTTCATATTCATTTCTTTGTATTATTTTCATGGGAGAATATAACATAATTTATGGATACATTCGTTTGTTGATGACTATTTTTGTGACTTCTAGGTTAAGACTTTTACAAATAGTGCTACTGGGAAAATTCTAGTATTTTTTAATTGAAGTATAGTTGATGTACCATTTTATATAAGTTTCAGATGTGCAACACAGTGATTCACAATTTTTAAAGATTACACTGGCATGCTACAGTCCATGGGGTCTCAAAGAGTCGAACAGAACTGAACAACAGCATACTTCATTTATAGCTACTGTAAAATATCAGCTATATTCCCTGTGCTGTATGGTATGTCCATGTAGTTTACTTATTTTATACATAGTAGCTTGTGACTCTCACTCTCCTACTCCTATCTTGCTCATTTTCCCCTTCCTTCTCCCCACTGGTAATGACTGGTTTGTTCTCAACATCTGTGAGTCAGTTTCTTATTTTTATTTGCTAGCTTGTTTTATATCTTATAGTCCCTGTGTAACAGACAATATTCCATGTGATAATAGACAGCATTTGTCTTTCTCTCTCTGGCTCATTTTGCTAAGGATAATATGTTCCTGATCCATCCATGCTGTTTCAAGTGGCAAAATTTCATCCTTTTTTTATGGCTGAGTAATAGTCTATTATGGCAACCCACTCCAGCACTCTTGCCCAGAAAATTCCATGGACGGAGAAGCCTGGTAGGCTACAGCCCATGGGGTCGCAAAGAGTCGGACACGACTGAGCGACTTCACTTCAGTAGTCTATGGTGGGCTTCTCTGGTGGCTCAGTGGTAAAGAGTCTGCCTGCCAGAGCAGGAGAGGCGGGTTCAGTCCCTGGGTTGGGACAATCCCCTGGGGAAGGGAGTGGCAACCTACTCCGGTGTTCTTGCCTGGAGAATTCCATGGACAGAGGAGGCTGGTGGGCTCTATCGTTCATGAAGTTACAAGAGTCAGACATGACTTAAAAAAATAGTAATCTCTTGTATATATTACCACATTTTTAAAATCCATTCATCTATTGATGGACAAGTAGGTTGCTTCTATATCTCGGTAACTGTAATGATGCAGTTATGAGCATTGGGGTTCTTCAGTCACTAAGTCATGTCCAACTCTTGAGACCCCTTGGACTGCAGCACACCAGGCTTCCCTGTCCTTCACTATCTCCCTGGGTTTGTGCATACTTTTGTCCACTGAGTCAGTGGTGCCCCCAACCATCTCTACTCTGTCTCCCCCTTCTCCTCCTGCCTTCAATCTTTCCCAGCAT